GAAAGCGGGAACACATTATGCAAATGTTGGAGGAATTTCTCAAAAAAGCGATTTAGCAAAGACACAGGCGAATCAAGAGGAGGCGAGGCGGGTATTGTCCGTCTGAATAGGCGCTGATAGAGCCGATGCGCCGGGGGTTGTGCGGGAGCAGCGCGGAGAATCCCGACGCGGGGCCGGTCCCAGGAGCACGCAGGGGCTGGAGGGTGCTCTCGCCGCCCCGGGGACGGCTGTGTCCTCGTTCTGGTCCCAGTTGGCCCCCAATCTCGCCCCCATTTTGCTCCGGGTTTCGCTCACGCTGGCCCTCGAAAGGCGCCAGAGTCCGTGTGTCCATACCGCCGCGTCAATTTCGCCGCACGCGCGGGCCCCACCGCCGTCGCTCCCGGCGCTCTGGGTTTTATTTTCCTCCAACGTCCCCCCACCCCCATCTCCTTTTTATTTTCTTTCTTTCTCTCTTTTCTCCTTTTTGCATTTTGTGCAAGGGAAGGGAAGCGAGGAAGGGGGGTGGGTGGAGGAAGAAAAAATTCGATTTTTAATTACTACCATTAAAAAATCAAATTTGCAATTCTTTGGGCGGCCTGATGGATCTCACTGATTGACAGTTGGAATTGACACTCTGGCTACCTCTTATCTTGGGCATTCACGACAATTTCTAATTGCAGGTAGTTTGTGTGTGTGCGCGTGTTTTTTTTCCCCCTCAGAGGCTTGGATTGCAAGGGAACTAAGCGATTACTTCAAGAGCCACGGGTTAAGTGCAGGGAGAGGGGGAGAGAGAGGGAAAAAATCCAATCCAAATTCAAATTGCTTCATTAGAGAGACACCGCTTTTGTGGGGAAGGGCTTTAAATGCCCACTACAAAGTTAGGACTCATTGTTCCGCGCCGGTTTATATAACAGGCGCGGGGAGGCGCTGGGCTCAGGCTGCGCTGAGCCAGTTCTGCAGCCGCCGCCGCCTGCGTTCCCTCCCCCCTCCCCCAGGTGATGGCCCAGCCAGGGTCCGGCTGCAAAGCGACCACCCGCTGCCTTGAAGGGACCGCGCCGCCCGCCATGGTGAGTTCGCTGGGTCCAGCCTTCGGCCCCTGGCGGCCTGGCCCTGGGGACCTAGCCGGGATTTCTGGCCCCGAATCTAAGTCCTGGAGCCCGGGGGCTCCCAGAGGGAGCCGCCCCTCTCTGAGTTTTGGGGTTTTCTGGCGGGGAATGTGTGCTTTGGCCGCTGCCAGCACCCAGGACGCTCATGTTAAAAGTTGGAGCTGTTCCTGCCCCTGCAATAGGCCTTGCCTTTCTAGTCCTCTCCCCCAAGGCGCCGAGTCCCCGGTGATTTCGTTGTCAACGGGTGCGCTGGGCTCGCAGATTTGTATCCGTTAGGCACCGGGCTCAGCGCTCACCTCAGCGCTCTGCTCTCCATCTCTCTGGCGCTACAGGCTCAGTCCGACGCCGAGGCCCTGGCAGGCACTCTGGATAAGGACGAGGGTCGGGCTTCTCCGTGCACACCTAGCACACCCTCGGTCTGTTCGCCGCCCTCTGCTGCTTCCTCCGTGCCGTCGGCCGGCAAGAATATCTGCTCCAGCTGCGGGCTGGAGATCCTGGACCGGTATCTGCTCAAGGTGAGACAGGTCGGGGTTGCATCTGTGTTGGCGGGCTGTGGGGAGCAGCCCAGGAGTCTTCAGGCAGGCAACACCCGCACCAGGTCCACTTATCCCAATCCTGGCTCAGGCTTTGCATGAGTGTGTGGCCTCGAGCAAGTCTTAGCTGCTTTCTGCGCCCCTGGGTTCCCGCCTGGAAATTAGCAAGAGTTTACTTCTACCACCCAGCCAGCCTCAGTGTTACAGAAGGAGAGTGGGAAAGTCACAGACACCTTCCGAGCGCCAGCGTCTGTGTCTGCAAAGGGGGCCGGGAGGATGGGCCCCCGCGGGAAAAGAGGCCGGCTCTGAGCGCTCCCCACTCCGCCCCCTCCCCAGGTCAACAACCTCATCTGGCACGTGCGCTGCCTGGAGTGTTCCGTGTGTCGAACGTCGCTGAGGCAGCAGAACAGCTGCTACATCAAGAACAAGGAAATCTTCTGCAAGATGGACTACTTCAGGTAGGCTGCGGCCGCCGGGCCAGCAGTGTCGCCGCAGGCCGACCCCCGGCGCGAGAGGAGGCCGCCTTTGCGGCGCGTGCTCTCGAGCTCCAGAGATGGCGGCCCCTGGTGCGCTCCCCGCGCCGCGCGGGCCCAGCCCAGCGGCTCTCAGCACCCTGGCGAGGAGCTCCCGCCGCGCCGCGCTGCTGAGCTGTTCCGGCCCGGCATCCGCCTCGGGTTCCTGCGACCCGCTCGCTTTCGGTCGCGTCTCGTGCGCCGTCTAGGGTCCTGCCTGAGTCTCAGGCTCCAGTTCTGACCTCAGGCGCCTCGGTTGAGCGGACGCCCTGGGCTCTGGCCTCAACCCACAAGGATCCAGCCGCGATTTGTCTGCATCGCCTGTGCGCTCTGGCTCCGGGTCCCAGCCCTGACTCCAGCTCTGATCCAGCCCTGATCCAGCCCTGATCGGCGCCTCTGCCAGGCCAGACTCAGTGTGCTGCGCTCCAGATTGTTGTCCCGCTCTGACCCAGGCTTCCTTCTGGGCTCGAGTCTGGTCTGGTCCCAAGCGCTAACTTAGCATTGGTCTCAGATCCAAACCCATATCTCAGAACTCTTTGGTCCTGCTCCAGGGGCCTTCTAGTTCAGGGCCCTGTTCTGTCCCAGGTCCAGTTCCATCATCACGTTATGTTGCCACTTCATCCTCTCCTGAGTCTGGGCTCTCACTTTGGGCAGCTGAGACAGGAACCGCGATGGGGCAGGCAGCCGGCAGCCTGGACCCCGAATGGCGCTACCTACCCAGCTGTCCTTCCAGCCTGGCTGCTCTTTAGGGCAGCCTCCAAGCTCCAACACGTGGCTTCGACCTGACCGGGTCATGGTTGGGAGGTCACTGTGAGGTCAGGGGCACAGCCACTGCCCCCTTGATCCTGACTGGGGAAAGCCGGCCAGGTCTACAAAGTCTAAAGAAAGTGGGGGTGGGGTTGGTTCCTGGGAGGGACGTCTGGTTCCCAAAGACTTTCTCAGGAAGTGGGAAAAGCAGCTCTGCTCAGCCCCAGCCACAGACATCCTTTCCATCTGTGCCCGGGGCAAGGTCATGGCTTCATTTTCCTGGGAAGACCCTAGACTCAGGAAGATCCCCTGGGAGTCAGGGAATGTGGCAGAAGGCAATGCCCGCCCCTGGTCCCTGGCTCCGAGTTCCCCAGGACTGGGAAAGAGAGGACCAGAGTTGGGGGGGGGCTTGCCTCTTTGGCCTGGGGTACTCAGAGCCAGAGTAGACAGGGTTTGAGAAGCATACCCCCCAGGTATGCCCAGGGGGGACATCTGAGGGTCTGGACCCAGCCCTCGAGGAGAATGCGTGTTTCTGTGTTATCTGGATGGGGGGGATTCATCACCCAGCTGGGACAGGGGTGTGTAGGCAGCTGGTGTGCCCCTTTATGACAAGCTTTGTCTTTTAGTTCACATGGGAGCATGTGTGTCGATGTGTGACTGTGGGGACTTGTGTGTGCCCATGTGTGCCCATGTGCAAGGAGGTCAGGACAGGGTTACATCTGGACAGGGGTCGGAGGTGAGAGGCTAAGGGTTCGGAAATCCCATCATTCACCCACCCACCCCCAGGGGACTCCTGCTCCAGGCCTTCGCCCAGGCTGTGTTGTGATGTGGCTTTCTAGATTTCTCAGTGTAGACTGCTAGTATGTATCGTGATCAGCCTGCGGGTGATGTCTGTCCCCACTGTCCTCAGACTGTTGTCTGGCCAAGGCAGGAAATGGAGGTTAGAGACCCTGTCTCCCCACCTCCCTGCTCTGGGCCCGACTCAAGTTTTTAAAAACCAGCTGCTGTTTCAAGGGCTTCTTGGGCTCATCAGGGACAGGGCTCTGCGGGACAAACCAGCAGGATGGCATCTCCTGGAAGGCAGGCCTGGCCCCTGGTGACAGTGGGCCTGGCAGCCCTGTGAGCCATGTGCTTCTTCTCAAGTCCTGTTCAAGCTACAGGACCTGGATGCGGTGCTTTAGTAAATCTGGACGTTTAGTAAATCTGGGGTTCAGACTCCACTGTTCAAAGCCTCCACTGGCTCCTCCAGGCCTCCCTTTTCACTGTGATGGGTGGACAACTTTGTGGGGAGAAGTGGACTGGGTGCCGGCCGGCCGTCAAGCCAACATTGAATCATTGTGTGACCTTGTGCCAGTCACTACATCTGTCTGCTCTCAGGGCTGCCAAGAAAGGTAGTCTCAGCAGAGGCTCCTTAAATAGCAGGCCAGCGGGCTGCAGATGGGTGTCCCTGGGGAGGTGGGCATGCCGTTTCCTCAGCAGTTTAAAAAGGGCTGGGCAGGGTCATTCCT